CCATGTATATACCAGGCAATGATTTTGCTAGACGGAGAGATTTCACTATTCCTAAACATTTGCGTTATAGATGCAATATATATGATCGTGAAAGATGTGAAGATTATTCTTTTTTCAAGTTCCCTTTCAACTTATGTAATAAAATATTAACACAGACCCATCCATTAACGAATCGATGTTAAGAAGATCCGAGTGGGGCTAACTCGGCGTTGTATGCGGTGAATAAATCAGCTGGAGTAGAAGGGTAGTTTCGTATTACAAATATAGAAAAGGATGGGTCACGCCAGTCTGATGTAAGAGCACGAGTCACGCTTTTGCCAAAAAGGAGGAACATTTTTAATTATTTAAAAGCCGTCTTAAAGCCAGGATTTAGATTGATTTATCCTAAGCCAGAGGCTTTCGTTGAAGCATAAATGACGCTGCGTACTAGACAACGATATTTTCGAAGACATCCTTAGTGAAATAGCTGAATTTTGGCCCCCAGGGACTCAAATGTGTTTCCTTTATTACCAATTTATACTCTTAATTATTATTACACGAATTACCTAAAATAAAATGTTTCAATGTTTATGATCTTCTTTAAAAGAGCATTTCCTTAAGTGACCGAAATCTTAGCGGTCGAGTGGGGCAAAAGGTCCCCAGAGTTTAGTAAACAGTTTTAATAAACACCCTGCACACACTATAAAGATTAAAAGAGATTAAAAAAATATTATTACATAGAAATAGATTCTTTGCAATCATGAAAGTCAGGCCTGTTTAGTGGTGACGCGTAAATAGCAAGGAATATATTCAAATATTCAATATTTATCGGGCAAATTTGGAACGCATGAAGGGGTAAGTTTAGATTTTTTTAAAAATTAATTTTCCACACAAACGAGAAGGTATATAAATGCATAAGGAAATTATTTAATCCGTCCAAACACGTTTTATAGTGATAAAATAAGAATTGTAACGTTGTCCCGTGTTATTTCACTGGCCTGTTTATAATATAACGGACTTCTTCGATACCCAGGATTGGGTTGGGTCCTGCGAGAAATGGATGTTTCGACCGACTTTTTTAATTTCCGGTCGAACCAGGAAGACGGTCCGGCTAGTTTAGCGGATGTCCGCCGGACCGCAAGCCCAATATAAGTGTAGAACAAATTCAATGCGAATAACTGGAAAGTTTGTTTCTTCGCTTAACGATCCCCTCAAGTCGTCTTATTTATTTTCTGTCCTATTGGCAATAAATCGTACACCGGGATAATTGGGAGACAGAGATAAATTGTCTTATTGCCCGTGTCCGAGAGTAAGCAGAAGTTTCTCAACCCGCTGGCGAACTGGAAACGCCGGAATAAATCTGAAGTTTTAATGATTAAAATTATTTATTAAAGAAGTTGATTGACAAATTTGAAAATAGGCGATGTTTAAAAACGCATTGGTTTGAATATGTGCATGGATTGATACTTTAATTTGAAAAAAACCTCTCGTATGATTAATGGAACATCTAATTTTTTTAAAATTTAAATAAAAATGTATTCATCCAATTAAATACTAATAGTGTTAATCCATATTTGCTTATTGGTCATAAGTAATTGTATTTTTAAACGAAAGAATAATATAGACTTTACAGATCGTGAGATGCGGTCTGGTGTGATGTAGGTTTAGAAAAACTTTCTTTATCGTTTCGATCTTTATTGAGATCATCTTCAGGGCCTATGATTTGTAAACTTTGTTTAAATTATACAAATACATGTAAGATGTGAAAATGAATATATACAAAAATGTACACAATATGGAAATTTTATATTATTTGGAGATCGTGAGAAAATAATCTCCAAATAATCATTAATTATCGATCACTAAACACGTAACATTTGTACACAAGGAATATTAGGTTTAATCAAAGTATTTGTACTCATTCAAAGTGGGTATTTTCTGTGTAAATGTGACACGGTTGAGTGTCGTGTTGAGAGTGTAAGTGAGATATCTGATCATCATCTTCAAATTTTAGATGTATTTGTACAATTTAAACGGTGGTTATAAATCCCAGGCCCTGAAGATGATCTCAATAAAGATCGAAACGTTAGCACGATAAAGAACATGTTTTTCTAAACCTATATCACACCAGACCACATCTCACGATCTCCAAATAATCATTAACAAACGGTCACTAAACACCACACATTTCTACACGAGAATAATATTGAACTTATGCATTCATTATTTAATTTACGTAGATTTTTTTTCTTCATTACATCTTAAACTGTATAAATACATATTATAAACAACCACCAGATTTGATTTAATTTTGACATGTGGCAATAATTGACATTATAGAGAAAGCTACCCATCGGCAGCCGCTCTGGACTAATCATCCTGTCCATATTCTTTCCAGCCGTCGACGGGGTAATTCTGGGGAATGGAGCATTTGTGTTTGTGTTTTAGTGTGATCTTGTAATTTACTGTGAAAACTTTTTTTACCTTAGCTTTCGCTATTAGTCAACTGATTTTTTTATCCTTCATGTTCTTCCTCTAACCAGGTATGGCGACACGAAGATGCTCTCGATGTAACTACATTTGTATTTTACTTTTATTATAAACAATGTGTGGTGATTAAACACATTTATCTTGTCCGATAACTTCAAAATAGCTTTCAAAAGTTATAAAACAATTCAAACACTTTTTTCCAAAATTAAAGATCCCACACCAATAACAAATAAATCTGACGTAATCTGCAAGATCAACTGTTTAAACGGTCCGACAACTTACATCGGTCTTACATCCCAATATCTGGACAAGAGAGTAAAGCAACATATCTATGATTGCAAAAAACCTAAACAAAACCCTACAGCACTCGCTACCCACCATCTTGAACACCAACACAATTTCGACTTCAAAAATCCAAAAGTATTACACACAGAACAAAACAAACATAAACGTAATTTCTTAGAAATGGTTTATATCAACAGAGATAAACACAGACATTACATCAATTACAGAACAGATACATGTAAACTCAGTCGCAGCTACGCGAATATCATCAATCAAATTCAATACAGATAACATACATATATCATTACATTACATTCCACACATCAAATATTTTTCACATAGTCTAATTTCCCAACAATTTAGCTTTCCTTTTCCTAATTTATCCCTTTCTATATAATCCTGAAAGGATAATCTGACCGAACCATTACCAACACATTTTTTCCCTTCGTCGGCTCGTTTCACCTCAAAGAAGCCGACGCCTTATACATAAATGTCTTTTCTATACCGACTTCCTTCCCCACTCCTTCAAAATCCAACGTATATAAACACAAAATAGCAAAATCTCACTGGCACTCTCGACACGACACGCAAGAATGGCATAATTACACAGAAGACAAGCACTTTGAGTGAGTAGAAATACTTTGATTGAATATATAAAAAAAATATATTTTGCATTGTATAAATTCACTTTTCCACATCCAAAATGTAATTGTTATATGTAAACAATGTTTGTAAATCCCAGGCCCTGAAGATGATCTCAATAAAGATCGAAACGTTGGCACGATAAAGAAAATGTTTTTCTGAAACCTACGTCACACCAGACCGCATCTCACGATTTCTAAATAATTATAAACAATCTTTCGTGGGATGTGCGTGTGTGAAAATGTTTGGAATAGGTTTTAAATGAAAATACAGTTTATATTTGAAGATCTTGTAAAGTTATTGTTCATAAGAAGAGGCAGAAATAATTTAGTCGTAAAATCTTTGACTGAAAACTTTGTAAGTGGTATTGGTATATTTGATCGTAATCTTGGGCACCTTACATCCATATAAGTTTGCGTTAAGATATATTTGTCTTAGGTTTTGATTTTGATGGTAATTTTGATTGTCGGCTTAATAGGTAAAAAAGCATTTTAAATCAAACGAAAGGAAAAATAGTTAATTGTATCTTCTACACACCAGCCTTTGCTTTACAGTAATAGCCTAGTGGATTTGAGTTGTAGTCTACAATCTACAATCTATTGTACCAATGCCGAGCTTTCGATGATAAATTTTGTCTTCTTCATGATACTAGACCAAGTACTTCTAAGTTGTCAAGAATCTGAGATATGTCTACACGAATATAAAATTAATTAAAATTGTTCTCTGAAGACCCCGAAGACTACTCGTTGGTACAATAGCACTATTTGTTTTTCTCACCACAACCCTAATCCATGAAACTATTATCCATATAGTTTGTCTTATTGAGGAATAGGTTCATTGTATATGCTAGGACAAGTCTCACTGTGAAGTGTATAGGTGATGTGTTATGACTTCGAGGTGTTAAACTTTATTGTACAAAGATTGCTCTATTTTTTAATTGTTGATATGTGGTTTTGTAACCTAAGAGAAGCTTATTTAGAAGAGGGATGACTTAGGGTTCATATGGCGGTGTCATCTGAGGTAAGTTCATTCTTTGTGGCCACTTCAGAAGTAAAAATTGTGTCCAATAGCGGAGTGAGAGTGTATTAACCCCATAGCACACCTGCAAGCACTTCTATCCCTGAAGTCTTCGATCCCTGGTTTACTGCAAAAATTATTTTCTTGAGGTATGATTGTATAATGAAAAATAGGCCTAAGGTAAAAATAGTTTAAATTTGTATAATAGTCCTTCATGCCATTCTTTGCCGAAAGTCTGAGAAACATCTAAAAACCCTCCAGTCGGCGTTAGATTTCTTTTCGAGATATGAAGTCGTATAATTTGAAACTGTGAAGTTGATGAGTAGTGGAATGATGAAATCCATCGATAAATTTGTGTTGTGGTAGTTGTTGAAAATAACAATATGGATAATTCTTTTGTGAATTAATTTTTCGAATAATATCGAAGGAACGGGTAACAAAATAATGGGTCGGCAAGATGAAAAGGAGTTTAAATTTTTATTTGGCTTTGAGATAATTTTTATATAAGAAAGTTTCCATTGTATGGGAAAGTGAGTAATCCTTAATATTTCATTAAATAAAAAATTCAGAAATACGATAGGGTTTTTGGGAAGTTCTTTAGAGAACATCAGCTGTTACCAAATCATTTAATGTTAAATCATTCAAATATTTAGTACGGAAGTTCAAACGGTTTTTTCCTAAAGAAAACAGCTGTTCGCGAAACAACTTATGAAGCTTCATGAAATTTTGTGTTTAATCTCGTTCCAGTCCAAATAGTTAATTTCACTGTCATTAAAATGATAAAATCAACATTTCCAATTTTTCTGTGCTTTATTTCAAGCTCACTTCAAGCCGCGTTGGATCCAAAAACGCCAGTATCAATAGTCCATCAAGGGTAAGTTTCTGTTTATTGGTTAAACTTGTGATTGTTAATTTTATTGTCATGCTTTCATATGTTTAAGCTCGAGTGGATAATTCACTTTATAACAATAAACAGATATTATAATGCGATTCTGGTATCTAATTTACTCACAAGCTATTTCGTAAATTGCCCAGCGTTAAATATTAGATCAGAGTGCAAAAACAAGTATGTTAACATTAATTACATTGCATAATTAATTGAAATGAAATATTTATTATAAAACGGAAACTTGACATGACAAAAAACAATGAAATCGGCCGAAGATTGTTTATAATAAAAGTACAAATGTAGTTATATCGAGAACATCCTCGTGGCGCCGGACGGTATGGTGTTGTTGGAGTCCGGAAGGGTATGGAGGATAAAAAAAAACATGACAAAAACCGATCCAAAAACTTTTGAATTTAGTAATGGCTTTAGACTATCAAAACTGATTATACCAAAAAGATTTTGTTAGAATGTGATAAATATATAAATATAAATAAAATTGAAAGTAAAAGATGACAGTAGTGTCAATAAAAAAATCAGCAAACATGGATTAATTTTTATAGAATAAACATTTAGTAAAGAACTGTATCAGAATGATGCTAAAAATACTGAAGTATAAGGAAAATTATTGGTTATATTATTCTTAAATAGTTAATATAGTTAAATTAAATTTAAATTTAAAACAGTTATATTATAAGTAGTCCTCGGAGGATCGACTCGCAGAAAAAGAGTCGTTCACACTCGATTAAAGATATATACCATGCAAGACGGGCAGTTACTTCTGGGCTAAAGCCTGCATGTGTGTCTGGCATACAGAGAAAGGTCTCAGATGCACTTTCTTGGCTCCACACAAAGAGTGTTTACGAATGCTACCCGATATGAAAATCGCGTAGAGCACGGCAGCGAGTATCTGGGTCCACTGATCCAATTTTTGGAGGAAACAAGGTTGCTTTATTGTATATAGTACTGATAATTTTGTGTTCAGGCGATTTAAGAGTAAATGTGTAGAGTAAGAGGTTCAATGACAAAATATTGAGCACCTATGACCCTCAATTAGGACAGTTATATAACAAGTGTAGTGGATAGTGGTACTCCACCACCCTAACTGAGTGTATGGTATGCTGAGGTCCGACCCCGAACTGTCAATACCTGGGGTGGGCGATTCCGGTCCTATCGGTGATTTATTGTAAATTACAAAAGCTGGAATTACCGGTGGTCTGTGAAAGGTGATAGGCTTAACTCTGTACATGTTTGTATTTATGCACATACACGTACAGATTTGAGCTTATATAAATCAGAAATCAGTAAAACGGCTAAGGAAGTTATGCTCGAGACAAGAGAATCCAACGCAATGGGGTTCTGGGTACCAATTCCGGCTCAGCCCATATTTTTTTAAAAATTGAGATTAATACGAAAAAAGTATTGTGAAGTGGACTGACCTCTCGTCCGCGAGACCCAACGTGTAGTTGGACTTTAAGCCCTCGGGTATCTCCAGTACATACTTATGCTTGAGAAGCGGTGCATTTATTGTGTTTAAAAATTATAGCAACAACACACTCTTTCCACAGAAAGTTTTGAGGTAGGGTGAGTACGGCAATTCAGTTTTTGGAAAATATAGAACTATCTTCATAACAAAAAGTGAAATTTTTCCAGTAAAAAAATCTATATGAAAACTATTTATTCGAAGGAAATGTTTCATATTTGAAATTGCATTGGGTTAAAAGGAAGAAAATAAACTAGTTCGTGTTTGCCCTTTTCGTGTGCCGTTTAAGGAAAAATAAGTCCGTATAATGATAATCGTTTATGATTTTTACCCTATGTCAATCACAGAATTAACGGTTTAAATCCTTACACATAATAGTTTTTTAATTGAACCAAAAAAGAAGGATTTTTTCAATTAATTAAACAACATAAAAAGAAGGCCGCCGAAGATCAATAAAAGATCAGTTAGAATTACATCGGGCTTTAATTATGCCATTAATCAGACATAAAAGTTGAATATTCGCTAGGTAGATATCGGTTGGCCAACATGGGAGAAAATTAATAAAACATTAGTGGGGAAACCGGAACTCGATGGCCGTTCAGCAAAGATTTAACTGTTCAAAAATCATCTTTCTTTTAAAACCTTATCAACAAAACCATTAACGATTTAAATTGGGATCCTCTAAAAATATTTTAAAAAGAGAACATAAGGAAGTGTAATTTTGTATATTATGAACTTTATGTTGGTCGTTACGGATTACTTAGATCTGCCTTTTTCGCTGTGTTCGTATCAGCCGCGTTTCGGCATATCGCCATCTTTATTTTTGGGTCTTTGGTATTTATGGAAAACCTAGTCTCTTTTTATAATGTAGAGACGTAGTACACGGCAATAGGAACACACTGACATATCTGAACTCCATAGAGAAGAAATTACAATTCACAGCAAAACTAGAAAACAATAACAGTATAAATTTTCTAGACATGATTCACTAACACTTACAATAAGCTACACTTCCAATATTTAAAAATCAGCGGCTGACATCATAAAAACCGATTGAAATAACTCCCACCTACACAAATGGTAACATTAAATTACATGACAGACAGGCTAAATATAGTACCAATGAGAAAAGAGAAATACTAAAACGAACTGAAACAATGAACACCTATGACGTTACTCAGCACTGAAGACCTCGAAAACAATAGAAAAAAAACAACACACTTACAAAAAGGCCTCTGTATCATGCGATTGGGGAGACAAATTAATCGAAAATACTGGTTGAAAGATAAAAGAAAATAAAATCCTTTAGATTGATGGGAAATCAAACTATTCGACGTCACAGACCCCTCCCCAAAAAAAGAACATATTCAAAACTTAAAAATATAAAAACAATTTTTTATATTGAAATTTTTTGGGTTCAGCAATTACAATGGTAAAACGTGGGAAGAATAAAATAAACAAAAATGATAAACATATAAAGAGAAGTCACTCAGTGGTGAGCCTCCTAAAGAATAAAATAAAAGTGATCAATAATTTTTTCAAATTTTCTTCATCAAAAGGAATGCTAAGGTCTCGGTGCAATGTGTGGTTTGATTTTGATATGTAAAACGAGGGTTAACAATTTTCTTACAACTTTTGATTGGATTCATTGAATGTGTTGGGAGTTGGAATGCTTGGTCTATTCCCAAAATTTATAAGTCCACATAAATTTGGTAATCATAGTGTACATCACTTTTGTAGTTTAGTGGAAGTTAGGATCGACTGTCCAGTAGTGAGAATCGTTTGTAACGTATAACAATTCTAAAATAAATCATAAACATGCCATCATAAATATGCCCATACACTGAAGATAAGATATGACGAAATGCCCAATAATCACTCTGCAGACCAGACAGAAATATCGTAATCTTTATTTGTTTATAAATTAAGCTTGAATAGCTATTAAATATATCGTTTGGTTATAAAACGAGCATTATGTTTTTTATAGTAACTCATAAAAACCTTTTAGTTTAATTGAAACGGTACAAATGCAAATATTAAAACGTATAACTAATAAAATGATGAAATAGCCAAATAAATTTATTAGTAAGGTTAATAGTTTTTTAATGGTTTTCTATTAATTATCGAAATGTAATTTGTGAAGAATGCAAATTACGGAATACTCATTATCAATACAATTTACAATTGTAGATTAGTTTGTTATCTCCTTAATTATCAAAATATCTAGGCTAAAGTTGAACATATTCCATTTTATGTTGAGACAACGCCTGGTTTCTCAATGCTCTTTATATTTCACTTATCAATAAAACACGTGTAACTATTTTTACGCATTATTTTCCTAGGAAAAATGCATTTTTATCATTACCTAAACAGTCTTAATTTAATACAAACAAGTAGAATCTATCCAAGCATTTATAACTATAATGTATAATAAATTTTTAAAAAAATTATTTCTAGTTCTTATATACTTACAAACACATGGAAAGTTTGCTATACCTTGCCATGGCGATCAAAAGTACTAGTTCAATTTTATTACAAAAGCATTGAAAAATTAAACGAATATGTCTTCATAATTCAAATAAATAAAATATAGAAGTTTCTTAAGCGTGCATCTTCATATTGAATGTTTTAAAACTGGTTATATTTTTTTATTATTGTAAAAGCATGGTCTTTTAGTTTCTTTTAGGTATTTTAGTCATTTTATGGATAACTTGTTAGTAATTTTGCTTTCTATATTATATCAATTTAAAGTATAATGAGTATAATATTATGGCTAGTTATTGTATTATTTAAATAAAGGTGGTTCACGTTATATGCTTTTTTAGAAAAAACAATAAATATTTATCAAAAAAATTTGTCTTGTATCATCAATAAAAAATCTAATAAGTACGCAAAACAAGTAATAAAAGCCTTATATTTATTTCTTCTTATGGTTAACGTCTTTTCAACAAGTGAATTAAAATAATAAATAGGATCGTCAAATTAAAAAATTAAGTCTAGAAAATTAGAAAACTGTATTGTTAGTGTTTACAAATAAGTTTTAGTAGATAAAATGTCGCATAGTCTCAAGGTGAGGTCACGTCGGGTGTATCCCTGGTACAATTATTATTTTCAGCCGAATATATGGCCTCAAACGTACCGTCATTGCAGGTCTAATAGTGTTCTTTTAAATTTGTTGCAACAAGTAAATTTTTAACATATAATTCCTTATAAGACGTTATAAATGTGAGGTTAGTTTTAAGGATGATGATTAATAGCGAGCATAAAATGTTTAATATTGGAACGACGTAGAGGATAAAAAAAACTTAAAATACATCTTGCTTTTCTTCCATTATCTTCCGCTGGAAAATCACTGGTCACAATCTTTCAAATTGTCCGGTTTTTCACTAGTGAACCGACACTGCCCATTCCTGACAAAATGCACTGAGCCGTAACCTCAACTTTCACCTGTTCCCTCTCCAGTCTGAAAGACACACCGTTCGCGGACTTAGGCAACTCCCCACCAAGAGTCATTGGCCCCGGGTCTCCTACTCGATCTTGAGAGCTTGGGACGACTAATTTTGAAGGAAATTTTGAATTTGGATATTTTTGTTTTTCAGACATTACTGTTCAACCGGTATCCTCCTCACGCCGGTCTGGCTTGTCACAGGCAACTGGAGAAGTTGCTTTTCAAATAGGACAAACTTGATCTACTACGCCGATCTAAATTTGATTATGTTGGACCAAATACGACGTGTATCTTACATAGAGGTAATATAGATTCTAACAGAGTTCTTGATATAAAACTAATTTTTTACAGTTAAGAGTTTCTCTTTTAATTATAAATAAAGATAGTATTTTTAGTTAACTATAACTTAGAATTCTTAATTCATATTTTAAAATTTTAAAAGTTCCATTATCGGAAATTTAAGAGTTCTAATATTGTCAAAGTGGTTAAGTCAAAGGAAATACAGGAGCTGGAATGTGCCCTAAATAACTGAGCTAAACCATCTGAGTTGAAATTTCCCTCTCGCCAAAGGGCTCTTTTAGTCATAATTTAATACCAAATCCTTTGAAAGGTATTTCTATAATTTTACCAGAAAACAAAATTTTGGATGTGTATTTCTTAAAAAAATACAGCGTCAATCTGAACGCGTTCAAAGATGATTTTTTAAGGAACTAGACTGCATTTGAATTGATCAAAAATACGTATTTTCTTATTTTCTAATTCGCAATATCAAAACAGCATTAGATTTGTTGAAAATTTCCGAAAATTTTCTGTTAGTTGTATAACACAACCTGAAAATTTTAACATCACTGAAATAGTTTTTTTACTACAAATTTACATTTTTTCAAAATTTATATCGGACCAATGATGAAAAAGTTACACATTTTTAAGTAATTCTTTCGAATAGGTTTTTATTGCTAATTTCACAGATTTGATAATAATTATTTTTCCTAGAATTAAACCGAAAATCGCATATAGTACTTGTTTTTATTTAAAAAAAGTATTTCACGAAAAGGCGCGAAAGAGGCCAATTAGAAAGAAAACAACCTAGTTCCTTCAGGGGTAGTCTTTAATCAGAACAATGAAACTATAATTATGAAATTTCTTCATAATGTTGTGGTGATGAATTTGTAATTTGGTCGTTACATATCACTTTATGCCTACCCTCGCAGTGTTACCCCGTCAGACGCGTTCCCCCACAAGGGAGCATTCTTGGTCCTATCTTGTCTACCATTTTTACTACTGAATTTTCTGTACATCCCAACTTTATGTATGTTATACCGAATAAAAGCAACCTCCAACATCCAAAAATTTGAGCTTATCAAAGACTGACGCAAAAAATGGAAAACAAGACTGAATAAGGAAAATGTACCCAGTGTACTTCTTTGAAAAAAGAGTCGTTCCCTCCACGATACATAAACAAGGACTTCCACTCAAGTCAGATACTTATTACTAGACAACAGACGTGAAATCCCCCCCCCCAGATTTATTACAGCAATTGTGACTTCTCATCTCCGCAAGTAGCCTCTATCATCCGAGAATACCTTGAGCTTGTCTGGGACTGATGCAAACGGTAAAGGACAAGACAGAATGATAAAAATGTGTGTACATTTACATTGAAAAACAGATTGTCTTCCATTGTACATCAACAACAAGAAGCTACAGACTTTCAATCAAGTCAGGTGCTTAGGACTATACCTAATTAGCAGACTGACGTCCCCACACAAGACTTAATAGACGACAACTTACCAGAAGACTTTTAGGACCTACGACGGTTTTGTTCACCAAACCTCAGATAATACTATACAAGACAGTACTTTAACCACTTAGGACATACGGAATGGAACTGTAGGGTTTTTCCAAGTCTTGGATATCCTTGATCAAATGAAATCAGACAAATCGAATATGCTTACAACGTCATTAATCAACAACGACCTCAACATTTCTTTCGTCGACGAACAACCAGTCCCGCTTCCAAAAGTTCCACCCCAGGCTCTCGAGACACCTAACCTTATTTTCCAAGCTTAATGTACCTTTTTCCATCCGAAGAACCCGCCATGTCGCCTTAAACGACCCTCAAGACTTTCTCACCCTTATCCCTCGTATTGAGTGCCAGAGTTGGCTGGTTTCTACTGACATGCACCCTTGGGTGCACTCCTGGTCATAGAGTCAGTATTGTCACCGAGAAAAACCGATATATTTGTAAAATGTAGGCTATAATCAAATTAGTTGGTCGTTACCGGTCAGTTGGTCTGCCTTTCTTTCAATATAAGTAAAACTAACCTCTAAATATGACTATACAAACATCAAAATGGCTATGAAAACGATTTTAAACGATGAAAGTTAACATTGCAATTCACCAAATGAAAAATTACTACACAACAAAACGACACTATTAATAATATTTAAATAATGACGTGTTAACAACGATTTTGAAAATTTATAGACCAGTTAGATTTTAAACATCATCTAAAACACGAAACAATAGGGTATTTTCAGGCGTTTAAAGAGATTAAGAAAGGTATGTAGTTGAGAAATTTTCGAAGGGAAAACGGATCTCAAGACATAATCGATTCTTTCCGGCTCACGCAATTTTCATCGGTGAGATTTCCTGCGGGCTGTCCTCTGTTTGGAACTTTAACCCTCGTACATCCACCCTAACGCTTTCGCCGAGTAGTTTGGCTTTCCCCTACCGCCTAACCGCGGTGCGCCATTTCGTGTGCCTCTTCAACAAAGTTTAAACGCGGCCCGTACTAAATATTTCAGGATAAAACCCCCAGGAAATTCAACGGGATCGGCCCGACGTTTATTAATGCGCACCGCGTGAAAACGCATTTCTCTTAATCCATCAGAACGGCAAATTGGATTTATTAGCGCTTAGTTATGAGGCTCGAGGCGGATCATTGATTAAATTAAGCCCTTTTCACGTCTCGTAGTACACCTTAAGGAAATCCCCGTCCAAGAGAAATTAAAGCAAAAACACATGTGTTCACCGGAATTTCCCACCCCGTTGGTTTTTAATTGTTTGATAAATTTTTAATTATTGAACTTATATAAATACTACTCCTACTTAATTTTGGTTAAGAAATAACATACATTTTTAGCTCCATACCAATCAAATCGTAGGGGAGGTTAAATTATTAAAATAGTAATGTATTTAGGCATATTTTATTGTTTTTATTAATTAACTATATTATATAGTACATATTGTATATTGAATTTTGTAGATATATTATATATTGAATGTAGTTATAATAATAATAAATTATTTTTTCGCCGAAATGGAAAATACAAAAGTTACTACAGTTTTTTGGATTCGAAGTCGAATAATAAAAATAGCATATAATTTTAAAAAGAATTTGTTATTCTTCCAATACTGCCTGCTTTCCATAATTATAAATACTTGTTCCGGATCGTTTGTAAATTTGTAAATTGTGTAACAATAAAACAAGTAAAAAATAATATTAATTTAGAAAAAAATAGTTTTAGAGAAACTTAACCTCTTGAGTCAAGATTGTACGGATGTATAAATTTTCGTAACTGGCATTTCCAAAATTACTGATATTAATTTTATTTTTATATAAAATAATATAATTACTAAAGTAATTTGTTATTCTTCCATTACAGCTTGCTTTCCATAAGTATAAATACTTGTTCCTTAATGTAAAATCAACAATGTTTTTTATTATAATAAAACAATTAAAAAATAATATTAATTTAGCATTAAAAAAACTGTAGAGAAATACTCGATTAATTATACACAATTTTTTCGAAATGAAATTTTTTTGTCACAGGCGGGATTCGAACCCAAGACTTTTGGCTATAATTACGTAGAAGCTGATAAAATAAATAAAAATTTAGTATTTAAGGTATTGGTTGAGATCAAAAAGTCAGTGTCACAAGCGGGATTCGAACCAACGACCTTCGGCTAAATACGCCGCTACTCTACCACTTGAGCTATCTTGACTTCGACCTACTCGGACACTAATATCCCATCTCAACCTCACCTTTTAAATTTTCCCTTCTTTTTGCCTTTTTCAAATGTCGTGTAATCTATTTGATTCTCGGCGACAAAGGAAATGGCCACGGAGAGCTTTAGTGAAGGTATTCTTCATTTTAACTTATTAAATTCACTAGTTTTCGTGGTCCGCTTGTTCAAATAACATCTTTAAATAATTAATCTGCATTTAAGGTATTGGTTGAGATAAAAAAGTCGGTGTCATAAGCGGGATTCGAACCCACGATGTTCGGCTAAATACGCCACTGCTCCACCACTTGAGCTATCGTGACTTCGATCCACTCGGACACCAACCTCCCATCTCAACCTCACCTTTTGAATTTTCCGAGTGGATCGAAGTCACGATAGCTCAAGTGGTAGAGCAGCGGCGTATCAAGCTGAAGGTCGTGGGTTCGAATCCCGCTTGTAACAATGACTTTTTTATCTCAACCAATACCTTAAATACAGATGAATTAATTGAACTATGTTATTTGGTCAAGCGGACCACGAAAACAAGTGAATTTAAAAATTTAGTATTAATCTAGAATCACACCTGTGAATCGTACACAGTCCCGCTAATGTAGTACAATCATTAATAAAAAGTGTTTCTATACAAAGCCGGGATTTGCTTACAATTGGAATAAAATCGGGGAGTCGAAATGAGATGTTTGTGGGCATGGGCGATCGAAGTCACGGTAGCTCAAGCAGCGGCGTATTAGTCGAAAGTCGTGAGTTCGAATCCCACCTGTGACACAAATTTTTCATTTCGAAAAAATTGGGTATAATAAATTGAATATTTATATAATTAAGTTGAAGCTGATAAAATAATTAAAAATTTAGTACTTTAGAGAAACTTTCCTTGTTGAGTCAAGAATGTATGGATGTATAATTTTTTGTAACTGACTAAAATTCCGAAGTTACTGATATTAATTCTATTTTATATAAAATAATGTAATTATAAAAGTGATTTGTTATTCTTTCATTACAGCCTACTTCCATAAGTATAAATACTTGTTCCATCGTTTGTAAAATCAACAATTTTTTTTATAATCAACAATTAAAAAAGGTTAAGAAATGATGTGTTAAGAAAAAAAATAGACAAACTTAATCTCTTTAGTCAAGAATGTATAAATGTTTAATTTTTTGTAAATGGCTAAAGTTCTGAAATTACTGATATTAATTCTATTATCATACGTTGAGTACCCTGTTATAAGAAAAAATGATTTACGTTTAATGATTTATGAAATAATTTATATTTAAACATATAAAGACATAAAGATTTTGTATATGTATTATAAATTGTTTTAAATTTAAAACGTTAAATTCCTTTTATACTTTTTGTTATATATTCATGGTTTTTTAAAACAATTTTATTAGATAATTTTGAGTGACTTTTATGGCGCGTAATATATTTTACATAGTTATACATAGTTCCTCCCCTATCCCAGTAATCCCATAACATACGATACGGATTGTTCTAAGGTGAAATGAACTGGTTTTAGAATAGATGAAGGTAAAATGCTTCGAAATTTCGTTTTATGGTTCTCTTTACCAATGTTCCGATCTGAAAATTAATGTTAAATGTTGGTAAGCTCGCCGAAGTATTTTACTTTTGTTACAAAAGGAAGTTGTTTGCAGGAACAATTTCAAATGTTTCTTCTCGAAGGTAAAATAATATTATGTTTATTTAAATCTTTGAATGAATAGATATAACGTTGGTTTTATTTTGTATTTAATAGCAGCAAATTTTGATCAAGCAAATCTTTTATATAAAAAAATTCTTTATTAATAGATTACATTCTTTCGAAGTTTTTGAACAAAATAATGGTAGTGTCACCAGCGTTACTAAAGATATTTCCAGAAATGGTCAATTTTAATAAATCATTAATGTAAATAAGGAAAGCGATAGGCCCTAAAACTGTACCCTGTGGCACCCCATATTTAATTGATAATAGTGAACGAAGAAAATTTTGATTCTAGTTTTCTGAGCCCTACCAGAAAGATATCCCTGTATAGATAAATTAGTTAGATATAAGAAATAAGATATCCCTATGTAGAAAGATATTTAAAAAGATTAAGAGCTGTTTTATTTATACCAATTTTGTATAACTTTATATATTCTACTTTATGTCAGAGTTAAATGCCTCCTTAAAGACCAAAATATGTCTTTTTTCAGCTCCAATTCTTGAGCAATCAGATTAACAATTTCAAATAGGGTGGATTTAGTAGGAAGAAAACCAAACTAATTATTGGAAATTATATTGTTGTTTTATTTGCTAAAACCTGTCAGGTTTTCTTGGGAATCTAAAAAAATGTTGGAATTGAAAGAATATGTCATAAATCAAATAATAATAGTAACCAGTATAATGGTATAACACATAAGAACCGTTTTAACCATGTTTTATTTAAGATTATATGGAAAAAATTGTTCGTAATATGTAATTTTATTCATTTTACTATGTAAACTGAAGAGGGGAGGTTGGTGTCCCCGATATCGATATAATAAAAGGATATTTTGACATGGTTGTAAATTCCTGAAAAACACATAAAAAGATGTTAAAAAACTGTGTTACTAACTTGTATAGAAGTATGGTTGTGGGTTGAAATATACTCATGAAAGACCAAAAAAGAACTAAAAATACGCAGAAGGCCGGCGACTACCTCAGTTATTTGTCGGCCTCTAAACTTCCCACATTATTATTATTGTTATAGTGGTAATTTATTTACCCATTACGATTACCAATCTGATTTAAAAGTTTTATGAAGTAAATTTGTTCAGTTACTTCTAATTGTTTTTATGCTTTAATTGAAAAAGTGAAGAGGAAAACCTTTTAAAAGTGGGTTGCTTTTCGGGGGAACTAGTAGGGAGGTTTAATTGAAGGGAGAATATGGCAGACTCACTTATAGGAGGCAATCTCTCTTTCACTCCATCCCGCCCTTCCATCGCCCTTTTCCCGTTTTCTTTCCTTTTCCAACTTCCCGTTTCACTCGTCAAGGAAAAAGGCACATAATCCACTTGAATTTTCAAGTAATTAATCAATGTTAGGCAGGCGGAGAGGAGAGGGTAATTGAGTAGATGGCAAAGGGTTGTTGTTGGAAGGGTTGCCGGCGTAATATCCCTTCTCGTGTACACCTTCGAATCCAGAGTCTTACGAAAATGAGATCCCTTTCTTTTCGTCTCATTTATTTTTAGGTTCACTTATTAGTATGAATGCTGATAACCTCAGAAAGACAATGTTATCCTCTTTTAGAGACTCGTTTCGTTTTATTATGTTTTATTTTTACTTAGGAAATTAGACTTCAACTTTGCTTATAAACATTTTTTTCTAGGAATATACAGGCTTGGTAAGCGAAAGCGATCCGCTGTTTCCTGACTTAAAGATTATAAAGGCAGACAGGGAATTCAACTTGGTGGGACAACCAGCACCGCTGAACGTCGGTCTCCTCTGCGCCAAATGCGTCATCGTGTACTATCCCAAAACTGGCAACTATACGGAACGGGTGTGAGTGTGTTAGAGTAAGAACACTAGTAGTATTAATTTTATTATCACACACAAAATGCGGCAGTGATGTAATTCCTGACAATCTGTCGAAAAACCCAAACCAAAGGTCTTTATGACAGGGAAGAAGTCGTCGACCCGATGCCATTCATGGAGTGTTCCAAGAAATTCGACGCCGTTGAGAGCTACAATCATATCTGCACCGTCAACAGAGGTGTCCGCATACCTTATTTCTCAGCGATGTATTGCAACAATTCACTCACAGCTTTACAAGTGAAATCCGTGACAGTGGCCAATAAAATTGTCGTTAACATATTCAGCAGGACTCGGGCTATGGAAACATGGCTTGCGATCAGAATTTCTAAACTGCCTGTAGTAAGTTTAAAACGGGAACATTCCCACTGATAGAAAGGTTTACAATTTTTTCTAACTTGGAACAAAATATTTGATATTTGATAACTAAAGCTTCCTTACGTCTTTTTGTCTTAACAGATTGATCATCAAAGTATTTTATTTTTTATTTTTTTCCTCAAATTTTACCGACTTTCAAGATGGTTCTATACAATGGCTCAGTTTTCGGAAAGTTCATTGATGTACGAAGTTTACTACTTGCCTCGTTTCTTGATATGACTAGGGAACTGTTGAAGGGCTTACGTCTACTGTTGTCCCAACTTTACCAAAGTGGGTTCGTTTCGACCAGAACACTCGTATGTCTTATGAGCTTTATGCCCAGTTTTGAAGAATTTCCCAGAAGGAGATCCGTGACCGTGCAGAGTCATCCAAGTTTCTCATGTAAAAAAAGAAAGCTCTTTCTGACCGCAAGAACGGCGGAATGACCCAGTTCATGTTCATAACAAGTCGCATGTTTTCATTTCGTGTCTTTGGAAAAATGGACTAATGCTCATATCATACTTTCATTAAGGAACGATGATTGACACATGAGATTTAATCAATGTAAAAGTAAATAAAAAGCATAAATATTATTACATTTTAGTTGAAAAAACCCCGGAAACTCGGGGGTTGATATGCTAATTTAACTGCTACAGAATATTTGCACTAGTAGTCTATGCGTCATTTTTAGACAAGCTTTAAGTAATGTATTCATGGAGAAACTTAAAACCTTTAATACTTTTTATCGAGTTATGAGAAATTATTTAAACTGTAAATGTTTAATCCATAAAATTATAGCTATCCCCCTGACGGAATCTTTTTCTTTAATTGAGAAAAATTGCCGGCTTAAATATAGTCCAGAGAATAGTTGCTAAAATAAATTTTAATAAAAAAAGTTCGATTTTTCAGCAAATAAATTGTGCAGTTTGAAAGGTGGAGCCGGATCGATTTTTCACCCAGTCGACCTTTCAGCCAATTTTAAACGTTCGACTAGTATCACATTTTCGCTTCAGGGAGATTTAACTTTTAAAATTTGTAAACGAGGGGCTTACCTATCAGTTACGATAGTTTGCACTAATGGCCATACTTATCAACTACACATAAGTAATAATAGTAGTAAATAATACATATTCCATGAAATAAGTAATTACAAACGCCTTAAAGGACAACAATATTGAGATGAGTCAGTCCGCAGGTTAAATAAATTATTCATTTACGTACATATATTAAATATATTCAAATTAAATGATTTTCAGTAATATTACATATTGTGCATATATTTCATATTGTTGGTTTATATTAGAAAAACCACCTCTAGCCATATATTTATTATTTTGGAATTGGTAGTGTTCAGAGTTGTGATCTGCGAAATATTTATCAATTATCAAGATTTCGGCCTATATTTGACCTTTTTAAGGGTTGAAATATAATTTTGATATGTAAATTACAACTGAAACAATCGCTGTCAATGGATAAGTGTATTTGTAGGTATACTTTCAATGACAATATGTACATTCAATGACTAATGTTAGTTTCATTTGTAATTTATGTATCAAAATGACATTTAATTGCTGAGGAAAGTCAGTTATGGGTCCAAATCTTGCAAGTGATAATTATCTCACAGGCCACAATCCTGATACATTGTAAAATAGTAAATATATGTATAATTAGTGCTGAATATTGAAAANAATATCCATTACAATAATAAATTTTTCCGATTTTGCTTTCATATTATAATTAATAATGTGTTCAAAAAATTTACAATACACAACAAACAATCAATAATTAAAAACTATTATTAAAATATTTTCTATATTTAAAATAAATATTTCTTTTTTTAAATTTTCTTTTTAATTTTAATATTTCTTTTTTTGCAAGATAAAACAGACTAAAGCAATTTTCTCATTTTGGTATCCCAAATATTCCAAGTAATTTAGTTTGTATTTAATAAACCACAGTTCTGGGCGTATCCGCATAAAGTAATATGTATTTTCCACCTCCCCTGTGTTGCATAAAGCACAAGGTCCCCTTCTTTACTCTCTATTTACATTGTTAATAAGTCCCAAAACTTCATCTCTTGATTTTAAAATTACTAACATAAATAACAATCCATTTGTATCACTTATATTGGAATGCACTATCTAAATTTATATAAATGTCATTTTAACTGAAATGAAACTTTCATTGTTTTTTATGTTCTAAATACCTTGCTTTATGAGCTTTATTCACTAGGTTGATTAATTTAATTACAATTTCTCGATCTCTACTTTAATTCATTGGTTTGGGTCTTAATTTAAAGGTCAGATATATAGTAAACCCTGTATTTTAATTATCATTTATGTACAATGTTTGTCAAACTAAGGTTCGTGCCTGTTTCTAAATAAAAATATAATCAGGCGAATTTTGAGGTAATAAGTACTTTGTGAAAGTAGTGAGGAGCGGTCAGGAATGACGTATTTTAGAAAAATCCTTTTCATATTTTGCCGACATTACGACCTTTATTGCGGTCATCTTCAGGGTAAGAAGCTTTTTTGCTAACATAATTAACTAATAAACATAACGCTACTTTCTATTTAAAATGTTTACTAAAGGGAGTTGAGGGGTCTAAGTACTTATATTTTTTTACCACCTGAATAAGATTTTCCTCCCCTCCAATACAATGGATTTCCACATGAAAAATCTGGATCTCAGTATGGTCTTGGTGAAAAAACAAATTCAATTGCTACCTGCCAAGCTTTCCACCTACTTTAAAATCATCGTCAGGATAAAACAATCATAAAGGTGTTTACAGATTGACATAATTTAGTTTTTAGTAACCGGTTTCAAATTTCTTTAAAGGACCGCGAACTGTGACTGTGTGTCTTGATGTTTATGGTGCATTCAAGGGTGCCATGACACCATCTTTTCCCAGTTAAAATTGAATAACACTTTTCAATGACAAATCAAATTTATAAAAACGAACATTGATCCTTAAATGGTAACAATTATAAATTTGCTTGTTTGAACAAAATTCTTATAAGGACAGCCTTCACTTTCAATGCGAAATTGACAGAACGAATTCATACAGTATTTATTTGCTGAACGGTCAATATTGATCGAATTCTATTTCAAACAATTGACAGGTAACGCTGTTACAATGCCTTAATGTATATGGAGGAAAAATTTAATTTTGAAATATGACCGAAGGTTGTTTTTTCCGTTTATTATTGGTACAATTTATTGAATTGATATTTTCTACGATGACTCCAGATATTGACTTAAATTAACATTCTTTTTAAGTAAAAGAAATGCAACTATATATATTTTTTTTAAAACTTTGAATTTGTTGCCCCAGGAATTTGACGATTATTACTACGAACGTCTACCAAGGCACGTCCCCACGATTCGGTAAGGCGGAATTTTAAAATGCAAACCCTATTTTGACATAAAAGGTATGACATTTGTGCAGGATGTACAACGTGACAGTTATCCATCATATAACATGCAGGTCGGAATATAAATTCGCACTTTTTGAAAACGTGGTCTGCGTGACACCACATGACGATACAGACCGCACGCCGAAAGGGGCAGCGTTGTACTGCATGGACAAGCTCTTCGGTCTCAAATACAGGTCGGTTTTCGTGACAGAGGAACGTATTTCGACGATGGAATTGTATTTCGGACTCGGAGAATACGTCTACTGGTTACGACAACGTATTCCAAACCTGCCGGTAGTGGACGAGGTAAATAAAATGTTAATTAATGCTGTCTCCGTCCCGTCGGTCTATTTCTTTATGAGGTTCGTTGGCCGTATTAAAAAGACCTAAATTTCGACAGCTCTTAATTAACTGAAACTAATTATGGCTAATTATCATAAACTATATCTTTTCCAAATGAAATGTAACTTAAATCAAATTAAACATATCAAACATAAAGTACTTAAAATCAAAATCAAAAGTGCTAAGAGCTCTTAATTGGTTTAAAAAAAACTTTGCTTCAATCATTTATTACTGTACACAAATAGAACGTTTTCAACTTTTTAAAAACTTATTTATTTTGCTTCTCACTCGGGCTTTCGTTGTTATCGCTATTTTACTAACTTGAAGGATAAATTTTAGTTTTCGTATGTATTACTTAACAATAATAAGCCTTTCTTCTTCCGTCCTTATATAGGCTCTGAACTCATAATTAGGATAACGAGGACAAATACAAAATCCTCCCTCTTTTAACAGGTCCATAAAAAGCAAAAGAAGAGGTGGATGAACTCCAGAGGTGCCAGACACAGTAAACTTGTCATCAAAGAACTCTCCAAAACTGGGATACGCATTTCTACTGCTAGAGCTGTATTGCTATGTACAGAACACTAAGCATCTGAGAATACATCTACGCAACATTCCATGACGATCCCAATTTTTATAGGTGTTATATTACCTTCGAATGCAAAGCTCCGGATCAATTGAGATACGTATAACTTAGGATTCCAACAACCGGGGAAAAATGTAGTTTACTACTATTTATAAAAAAAAGGATCGAGTAAATTGAACTGAAGGAAAAGTACATTAATCCAGATGGCTGCAGTATTTGGGGAATACACCCCCTTCTTCCTAGTGTTTTGCATCATCATCTACTTTTCTTGAGCTGAGGAAGTGTTGGGGTCTTTTTTGATGTGACCCAGGCTTAGATTTCGTTTGGCACCCGGAATTGCTGTTTTTTCTTAATCTCACTTGTCTTGTGCAGCTACCTCACTACGATAGTTCCGAGTCATTGCAGTCAGCGATTTACCAACCTACCTTATCTTCGCCACTGTTTTTCGTGGTCCTGCCCCACACTTAAACACGTGTAGACAGCTGAAATTTAACTCAACCTTTAAACAAGAACCCTGTCATTTACGAAACAGAAAAAATATTGGTAAAAATAAAAGACACATAGAATATTGTGTAGAGACGAACAGCTACGAAACTTAAACGATAACTCGAATATCTAATCCTGAAACTAACATTTAACAAGGTAAAACCGAGAGAAACGATTGAACACGCAAAACAATAATAAACGTTCACCACATTTTTTACTAAATTTTAAACACTGTATCAGATAAAAAGAAAATCAAACCGACGATTGCAATATCCGTTCGGAACAAACAAAATACCAGCGTCTTTATCAATCAAAGACGACGAGGGGACAAAGATAGCATAGAGAAAACCCTTTCACATTTCACGAACGTATTATGTTTATTATATAAAAATAAGTTTGGGGGCGTCGGTGGCCGCAACGGTTTAGACGTTGTCACGGTGCTCATCACTGTAAGATAAAGTTCCCGGGTTCGAATCCAGCGGCCCTGCATTCGAACCAGACATACTTTCAAATGGGCTTTTTTCAAAAACACTGGCACCCCGAGGGTTGATATAAGCTCTGCTGTTGCGAACCCTCGTTTAAAAAAAAAAAAAAAAAAAAAAATAGGTTCATAATTCAATTCAATAAACGTTTATTATATAAAAATTTAAAATAAACGTATAACATACACAAATAAACGTATAAACGTATAAAATGGCGACTGTAAAACAACCTACAAGTTTATTACTGAATATATCTCAATGCTACAGCAAGGCTATGAGGTCTCGAATCATAGGAAATATAGGGCTCAACTTGAAATTTCGTAAAAAATATCTGTTAACTACATAAAAGATTTCGGAGATTCGGCACCCGAATTTGGTGAATAGGACGGAATTTTTGTTTCGACAAGGTATATATTTATCGAGAGAAAAGAAAAAACTTGTCACAATGAACAGAAAAGATCTTCTATACAATACCGTTACATGTCCGACCTTGCTCCTTCCGACTACCATTTATTCCGACAAAAAACGTTTTATATATTTCAATTAATAACTCTTTTAATGAAAGGTATTGATTGGTTGAAATGAAAACAGCTAGTGTCACGAGCGGGATTCGAACCCACGACCTTCGCCTTCGAATCCCGCCCGTAACACTGGCTTTTTCATTTCAACCAATACCTTCTATCAAAAAATTAATTAATTGAAAGAAGTTATTTGGTCAATCGAACCACGAAATATAATGGTTTTATATATTTGAAAACTTAAAAAATAAGGAGAAAGTTCTATTTTTTATTTATTTATTTATTTATTTTTTTTTTGTAAATTGCCCTGGAATTAAGCTAATGAACTCTATTTGACAGAAAAGTCTTAGGTACAAAATAAATGGAAAATCTTTAATTTCGACTCTTTCATTCTCCGTTCTTCTCAACGGGCATTTTTACTCACCCTAATTTTTCATCATTCGTTTAAATCATGAAAAACAATCTTTTTTCTTTTTGGCATTGTCCTGTCTCGGTTTCGCTCTTTCTGTTGTATCCGGAAAAAATTGGAGGAATAGAAAAAAAATCTCATTATTGTACAGCTTTTAATTAAACTTTGCTAAATAATATGATATACGTTCAAATCCATTGGCAAACAATATAAAAAGCTTTTATTTTGGGAAATAATACTTCGTCTTTAGAAAAAATGTTAATCTCTACGTTTGAAATTCATTAATAAAGCAACGTAATGAACAATGAGAGGGCTTAAGGGTTATTTTTGTTATATTGATCAATTAATTTTTTTTAGATTTTCACTGTACTCTTTGTTTCTTAAAATATAGCAAACATTTTTTCGAGCTAACCAGGCCAGAGTAGATAACATTTATTGCAAAAGGTATTTCACTGGGTGGGTGTTGTTCAACTGAAACATTTCCCTGAGTAAGCTTCATGTTAATTAATTAACTCTAATGTAGAAAATAATTGAAAATTAATATTAAAATACTTTAAAAATTGTTATATTTAAAAAATGCAATACATTTTTAATTAGTCTTTATATTTGAAAAGAAAAAAACATTATGATGAAAGTCCACTGGCTATAGTTAAAATTTATATCAACTTTATTTACACAGAATCAGATACTTTGTTTTTAAAACTGAGCTAAAAAGCTAATATAGTTCAATATAAACGACTAGCTGTAAGTTAAACATGTAAGAAAAATTTGGTCCTTTATTTTTAGAAATAATCATGTCTTAGTTTTACCTTTTGATACTTTTTTGTACCCATTTTTTTCTTTTACAGCTTTTGAGTCAAAATCAGAAATAACCGGCGATTAGACTTATTCTGTACTTTTCGATTTTGTTAACCTTTTTCCCCGTGTTAAGTCCAAATGGTTCAAACTTATCTGTATTGATAAAGGCCCGTAATGACATCGAGGAGTAGTGCGCTCAATTGAATCGTTCTCTCTTATCGTTTAAAGCTTAATGTTATTTTACAATTTTTCACAACACTTTACTTCCCATAGCAATTTTTATTGTCTAATTTTCAAATCTGGTTCTTATTTCGTTTACTATTTATTATCTATATTTTACTATTTATTGATACTGTCACGTTAGAAGAGATTAAACGAGAAAAAATATATTTTACTGGAGTAACACAACCCTCCTCATTACCTTTCATCGAAGTCATCTTGAAGCCGTCCTAGCAATACCAGAGCAAAATTTAATGTTAATTACAACAATTTAAAAGAGCATGACAAAAAAAAAAAAAAACTAAAATCCCCTTCTAAAACCCATAAATATATTCCACAAATCAATAAATCTACTTTTTTATAATATTAATACAAGAATCAACTTATTGAGTTTGGCTGTTGACAATGATAAAATGTGTGACATCAAAACGTGTTTCTTTTGAAAAAAGCGATTTACTCAAATAGTTTGAGTGAGTAGAAATACTTTGATTGAATATAAAAAATATTTTTCTGCATTATATAAATTCACTTTTTTCCACATCTACATGTATTTGTTAAATTTAAACAATGTTTGTAAATCCAAGGCCCTGAAGATGATCTCAATAAAGATCGAAACGTTGGCACGATAAAGAAAATGTTTTTCTGAAACCTACATCACACCAGACCTCATCTCACGATTTCTGAATAATTAAAAAAAATATTTTTTTTGCATTGTATAAATTCATTTATTTCCACATCCTACATGTATTTGTTAAATTTAAACAATGTTTGTAAATCCAGGCCCTGAAGATGATCGCAATAAAGATAGAAACGTTGGCACGATAAAGAAAATGGTTTTCTGAAACGTACATCACATCAGAACGCATCTCACGATTCCGAATAATCAGCGACTAACGGTCACTAATCACCACACATTAATGTATTGTGTTTAAAGAATTTTATAAGAAAACAAGCCTAATTAAAAGAAAAGGTTAAAGGGGTTTCAAAATTAAACATAGTATAACATTCAGTTTCCTAGGACATAGGCAAGCAATAGACGAAACTAATAAAGTAATAAGTACTGTACAGAGTACTGGATGTACTCCGCAAGGAAAATGAGAAAAAAATGAAAAGACAAACATTTGAAAAAGGCCCGAATAAATATTGTTGGCTGAATGGTTCTGCATACTGATGAAGCCAGTATGTTTTTTTTTTTTGTGTGGAAAGAACGGTTTTAAAAAGTTCCCGAGATCCAATCCTTATTAAATCTCACTTACAGAACAACAAGAGACTGCGATAAAAGAAAAATGGAGTTTCTTAATTAATTCTTCGTAAAATGTTGTACAGTGGATAGAACATTTTCAACCCGGCGTGATAAGCAAGTTAAGAGGTTTTCCCTCCCTCGGAAGCCCCGACGAATTGCTTGCAAATTTCTTTGTCGAAGGGCGAAAACTTAAACAACCTGAGATACAGGCATCAATATGTTATCAAATTACATTTTCCATGACAGGGTAAAGGCGGGGAAAGGCGCAACGGCCCTTTTACTTGTTTACGACGGTTTTTCAAGCGAAAGTGTATTAAACAAAATATCCCACTTTCCAGTAATTAACAAAAATTCAGAACTTTCTTTTATATCAGCGTTCTTGATATTGGAACATTTCCCTTTTGCATAATTTTTCTCCGTCAGTTTTACTAATGGACTTTTGGACTCTAATTTTATTCTGTAGTAAACATTTATTCTAATTTGTTATTGCATACGTGTGCGTTGTATTGAAATTCAATGGTAACGTCGAAAATAAATTGACATGGACATGTAGAATTGGTTGGCTTTTAATAACTAATTTTATTAATTTTTGATTGAAAATCCTTTCTATTCTAAGGGGAATATTTTTAATAATTTAATTTATTACTATTTCTTATTCGAAATTTGTAACACGCTATATCGGCATACATACAATTAGCAATACCGTAATAAGGCCGTGACCGATGATTTTGATCCGCCTGTCATTGCTGGGTTGGTCTGTCAGACGGAAACAAAATAAACAACTAACTAAAAAAAAAGTACAAAGGTTACTACACAAATAAGATCAACAAACTAACAAACAAAAAGAAAACGTCATAAAAACAACTGTACACAGACCCAACACGGAAGAAATGACAAAACTCACTTGACAGACAAAGCCAGTAAAGACAGGCAGGCCAAAAGGCCAAAAATGATCGCTACCGACCAAATTACAACATATATATAATGGTTAATAAAATTGAATGAATATATTGCATGGGTCTTTGTCATAGGATAAATTGTTCCTCTTTATTGATTAATGCTGTAGCTTTTTGATTGAAAATATTATTGGAAAATTCCAGCCATGTATAAAAAAAATTGAAACAATGAAATGCTGACTATTGTCATTACTAAGATCAGAAAAAAATACACGACAGAATAAAACCATACTCCTGACTAAAGAGAAATTCGAAAACGAACTAAAACCAAATAAACCATAACATACAATAATATTTAAACAAAACGCAAGAACGAAAAGAAAACACGTCTCCTCAAAAACATACACTGAATGGACCACATCAATAGGGAAATATTTCATAAATTAAGACAGCATTCAACTTTAGCCATCCTCGCAGAAATATTTTTACAAAACATTTAAGGAAAATACTTCCCCAAAATTATGACAAACACATCACATATACATATTTTACTGTCATGTCGCCGTAATATATGTCGACCATCACTACAACACAAGCCACATAAAACCACATAGTGACAGACCTGA